TTTTATTCCGCTTGTAAAATTACTGTCTATCTTTTATATTATGAAAATCAGGCAGAGCGTGATAATGATCCAATATGGGCGACCATAATGACAGGGTCGAACCAGGATGGCCACACTGTGACGCCTATGACAGCCCCCTCTGGTAGTCAACAATTTGAATTATTGAAAAAAGTTTATAGCAGATATAATATTGATCCTGATCGATTGGAATACATAGAAGCTCACGGTATGTAGCATAAATAAAATATTTATACAGACAAAATTCAGATATATACCAATCTGGTTAAAACACAGATCCTATTTCGTTTCGTTTTTATAGTTCAAAGTTTCGTTTTACTTGTCTGTACTACATTTGGATCTGGAAGAGTTGTTATTTAACTCGTGTTCTGAATGGTGTCAGGGATAAGCCAATGAAACGGTCTGTTACGGCGAGCTTTAGGCGTGTTTTTCACGGAACTGTGGGTAATCCACTTGTAACATCAATGCTGTTTGGTTAATCAAATGTCTGACGCGATAGGGTCATAAGTCGGTCTTTTGACCCTTGACGTGACCTATTGCTATAACTTGTCAGATCTTCATGTAGTGTAGGCCATCGAAAGTATAAAAAAACGGAACGAAATATAGATCTGTATTTTATTGGATATATACCGAATTAAGTGTTGTTTACAACCCCCCCCCCCCAAAAAAAAAAATAATAAAATAGCCTTACTATGCATACCATAAAGCAGATTAATCAAGAATATCACGATATGAATTGTAAATTGATTAACAACGGATATTTAGATAATGCCTAGGTCCCACTGGGGAAAAATCATCGGCAATATGGAAATATACAAATTTTCATCCGATGGCTCCCGATGTTTTTGTCCACAAAAACAGAGCAGTCCCATGAGAAATGGCATCGGGGATGGTCCGGTGAACGTTCACTGGTACTTTCGCTATGGTTACAAAGCTTCTGGGAATGTCCCCGGAGAAATTGTAGTGAATCATTGGGGGTGGTTCCCAACAATCGGAAATACTCCGGGTACCTTCGCCGATAATCAACATCATCGCGTATTGGTGGAACATATTCCTTGGTCTCACTGGGCATTTTTTGCCTCGGCGATGTACTATCTATGAAACTGAAACAGGTTCTCAGCAGGTTCCCCTGGATCCCGATGTGTTCCCAACGTTTTGTCTTGAAACCCGGCCCGGAAGGCATCACCGGAGATCCACGGGGGGGGGGGGGCTCTGGGGGTGCTTCCTTGGAGCTTCCTCGAAATATTTTTTTCGGAGGCATCCCCAAAGCATCGGAGATGTCTCGCCGAAGTATCAGGGGACCTCCGAGGATATTTGAATCGATGATCTCTCGGGGAAGCTTCGAAGAAGCTCCAGGGAAGCTGTTTGCCCAACAAAACGTAGAGAATACATCAGGATAAATGTCAATGCTTGTCGGATCGGATTTGAGTCGGCTTTCCAACCTCATTGGGTTTCTCCGGGTCCTCCGTTTTTTTCAACTGCTAAAGACCCCATATGCACAATCAAAAAATATTGAAATAAATTAAACCATATGTTAGTCCCGAAATGACCTATTTTGTGTCAAGTGGATGCTAAATCCCATTTCTTTCTTTCTCTTTCTTTCATTTCGAATACCTGGATGACATGAAGCGTAGATTAGCCTTCTCTATATTACAACAGCTAAAATATACAACTTGATTAGAAATAACATTATGATATAGGACGCAGCATGTTTAATTGGCCGTATATATCATGTGATATTACTACAATCGAAATATTAAAAATTTGAAAAGGGTTTAATCTGCATAATTACTTCTGCGTCCGTAGATTTGTTTTGTGTAAATTATGTGTGGTGCAGCTCCCCTGCACTTACTATTAATAAAACAGTGGATAAATATCAAAATATACTATAGGTTAACTGTAAACAGTAGGATGTCATAACATAATAATAATACGTTCTGGTCTACATTTCATTTTTAATAGGAACTGGCACACAGGCTGGCGATCCCGTAGAGGCTAACTGTTTAGGCGGATTTCTCGCAGATCATACCAAAAATGCACCTCGTTATATTGGATCTGTTAAAACTAACATTGGACATCTGGAGTCAGCTGCAGGAGTAGCAGGTGTAATTAAAGTTCTTCTGATGCAGAAACACTCACTTATCGTCCCAACTCTTCATTTCGATACACCAAATGAAAAGATTGACTTTGATAAGCTAAAGCTTATAGTAGCAACACGTACCGACAAATGGCCGACATACAATTATGATGGAACAAAATTATCATGCGTTAATTCATTTAGCTTCGGAGGAACAAATTGTCATGCTATCATTAAATCGCATCTAAAACCCATCGACGTTAAAGTGGTCGATCCTGATAAACTACGACTTATCTGCTTCTCTGGAGTAGACGAAACATCAGTTAAGGGCAGTATTCAAAATTTTTGTGAGAAAGCTAAAACACAAGCTTATTCTATAGATGATGTGGCCTTCACCTCAACTGTAAGAAGGGATCACTACCCAGTAAGAGTTGCTAAAGTGGTCAAATCAATGGGCGACGCAGTAGATCAATTCGAAAGCATAACAGCAATTGATAAGGTTCCAGTTAAAGCCTTACAGAAACAAAAACACATCATTTTTGTATTTGGTGGAATGGGAAGTACATGGAAGGGCATGTGCAAGGAGCTCATGAAAACCAACCACATTTTTTATAAGAAAATACTGGAAATAGATGCTTTATTGTTACCACTGACCGGTTGGTCGATTTGTCAAAGATTTGAAGATAGTTTTGACCCAACAGATCCATATTTCGGCCCAATTGCATCATTTACGTGTCAGATAGCTCTTGATGCTGTGTGGAAATACTGGGGAATAAAACCAGATTGTATTATTGGTCAGTCAGTTGGTGAAGTAGCTGCATCACATTCAGCAGGAGCTATGTCTTTAAAGGATGCAGTGAAAGTTATTTATCATCGAACATATCGACAAGCTAATGCCACAGGGGGATCTATGCTGGTTGTTGGTAATTATGATGTCAGCGAGGTTCAGAAAATAGTAGATGATTACCCAGGAAAAATAGTTATTGCTGTTCACAACAGTCCTAAATCATGCACTCTAAGTGGGAACACGGACGTTATTGAAATGGTAAAATTGAGAATCCAAAAAGTAACAGAAAACTTAAAAATCCACTCGTTTCTTCACGATTTGGCCGTAACCAGTGCTTTCCACAGCCATCATATGACAGAGTGTTCCAACCAAATAAAGAACGATCTATCAGGATTAGAGGGTTCAAAACCTGATGTGAAACTGTATTCAACGGTATCAGCCAAAGAAGCTTCAGGATCAGATTTCATAACAGCAGAATATTGGGCTAAAAACGTTAGGGAACCCGTATTATTCCGACAAGCTCTTCAAGACGCTCAAAAACCGGATTGTTTCAACATTTTGTTAGAAATAGGTTCAAAACCTGTACTCATTGCCCATTCTAAAGAAAATTTTGATCTAAACCAAGCATGCGTGTTGATATCAATGAAAAAGGATATGGAAACAAATTGTATGATGCAAAATTTGGCTCAACTTTATGCACATGGAATTGACCCAAATTGGGATAATGTTGCGGAAAGAGGACATGTGACGGACGTGCCACAATATCATTTCAATCCAAAGTCAAACTTAATTATTCCAGAAACATCAAAGCTTGCCTTAATGGGAGGGGACTTGCATTCGAGTGGCCATCCATTTCTAAAACCAATTATTGGCGCAAATAAAAGCTACAAAGTCCTGATCAACCCTAACAGAATTGGATCAGTATATGAACATTTTGTTTTGGACAACATTTTCATACCCGGCGCTTTTTATGGAGAAGTTGGTTTAGCTATTGCTGAGCACTTAACATCTGGAAGGGTTACTGAAACGGCCGTGTCGATTAACTTTAAACAACCCCTTGTGCTACATCCAGGAAAAAGTGTTGAACTGGATGTTTTTACAAGCGTTGAAGATGATTATAAAAAAGAAAAGGAGAAAACTAACTACTCTGTTTTACGAGATAATCAAATTTTAGCCGTGGGTTCAATCAGTTGGGCAGATAACCAGGAAAATACAATTGTAGATGTAGATGAGATCAGAGATCGATGTTATTCAGAGTTTTCTCAAGAAGATATTTACGGACGTTTAAAGAAACTAGGGTTCTCTTACGGGACTCCACTCCGTGTTCTTACTGATGCTGTTTCCAACAATACTGAATGTTTAGTGTATATGAGCCTCCCCGAAGAAATCAGACAAGAGAGAATTGGCACTTTCATACACCCAGCTATTCTTGACGGGATGCTTCAAACGCCTGGAATATTGGGTATAAATGCAAAAGGTGCGAGAGATAGCAATGGAGCAGGAACAGAAATTCTTCCAGTTCAGATTGGTAGATTGACCTTAAATGGGTCACCAAAAGACAATATGGTTGCGTATGGAAAGATTATAAAAAAGACGGAATCAACTACCCATTATGATATAATTTTGTTGACAGAAGATGGCGGCGTCATTGCGGAGGCTCGAAACTTCATCACTCAAAATCTAGGGATCGCCTCAGCAGATAAAAAAATGCTGTACAGTATACACTGGAAACGATTCAAAACCCTCGGAACAGAAAATGCAGAAATTGAAGATTTATCAGAATTGCTAATTCTAGACAATTCTCAAAAGTTCGACCTGTCTGGTTTAAATGTACTTAAGCTTAACACGACCGAATCTTTTACTGATCAACTTTTGAAGCTTGGTCAACTGAGTAATAAGAAAGTTCTCGTGTATATCTCCCATCAACGTAGCTCTGATACAGAAGAGACGTCGACTGTATTCCAAAGTATTCTAGATGAGTGCATGCAGATTCGAGAACTTGTTCTCTTCATGTTGGCAAAGAGGATCGATGTTCCTCTTTGTGTCATCACTCTAGATACTTGGATACTGAGCTATAACTGCAATGCTACAGTAGGAAATCCTTCTGCCGCAGCTCTTTGGGGAATGCTAAGAACAGTTGATAGAGAATTAACTGAATTCCGCCTTAATCTAGTTGACGTTAGTGGAAAAGTAGAAGACATCACCGCTGACTTGTTATATAATACAATAAATTCCATATGTCAAAATGGAGAGGAGCTGCAGGACGGCGAGTTTCTTATTACAGACAATGTTGTTTACAGTCTTGAAATCCTGCATATTGCAGATCGAATGGAGCAGAAATACAGAGAAGTCGAGATGGACGAGAAATGTGAAGTTCAGCTATTTTCAGAAACCAAAAATGACTACATAAATCCATTTTTGATTTACGCTGATCCACCAGAACTTAATACCAATTCCGAAGTATCACTAAAAGTTGATACTGTAGCTATTCAAAATACGTCACTTTACAGCACATGCAAACCAAACATCACTGCTTCAAGTTCGACTGGGTTTCCAGTTTTGTGCTTAGAAGCTATCGGGTATTTGAATTCGGCGAACTCCAATGAAAGGTACATATCGTGCTATCCGGCACAAGCAGGAACAACGATTGTCATTCCGAAAGGTTGTTTAATATCTGCCGAGTTCCTTCCAATTTATCACCCAGGATTGATGATGAAGATTGTTCTTATGTGGTCCCTTTCCGAAAAGGTCTCTGCCTCTGATGTAACTATTCTTTACAACAGCCGGACCAAGCATCTAATGCGCTTAATGTGCCTTATCTTAGCTAGTCATCACAACAAAACTGTACAGGCCGTATCGTTGGAAAACATTGAAACTATACAAAATGGAACTCTTTTAAGCTTGGTTAACTTAAGTCAACAAATTATACATGATATCATTGGTAATTGGTCAAACGCCCAATCTCTCATAACCCTGACGTCACTTATAGATAATCTAGGTATAGCTGCTGTTCACGATAGACATGTACGTGTGATCACACAGATATTAAGAACCGAGGAAATTTATAGCCCCGTCATGCTTCTACAGAAAGTTCCACAAATCAACGAATGGATACGATCACAAAGGACCGAACTTTCAGTCATTTGCAAATCTTTCAAATCGGGTGTTCTTGGAAGACGTCGTTCTAGTGTTGCTATTCCACGTTCCATAGACATCATGCGTCTTTTATCTGTAACAGAAATACCCTTCAGCCGATCTTTAATGCTACCACCAGCAAGAGCAGTTAGCAGAAACATGTTCAGAAAGGATGCGGTCTATATCGTAGTTGGTGGTCTTACTGGTTTAGGATGGGAATGTGTACAATTTCTTGTGGCTAACGGGGCTGGCCATGTAGTTTGTTTCAATCGCCGTAAACCTTCCCAAGAAAATCTGAAGAATATGAATAATTTGGAAAGTTCTTCTTCTTGTTGTGTAGTTTCAGAACAGGTTGATGTAACTCTGTACGATTCCGTCGAAAATGGATTTAAAAGCGTGGACAGTAGATTCCCTGGCGCCAAAATAAAAGGTGTTATTTTTGGAGCTGCTGTTCTTAATGATGCATTTATTGAGAGTATGGACAATGTTAAATTTGCATCTGCCTTGTCTCCTAAAGTTAGGGGAAGCTGGAATTTACATTTATTAACAAAAGACCTAAACCTAGACTACTTTGTGATGCACTCGTCCATTGCTGGTTTACTTGGTAATCAAGGACAATCGAACTACGGGGCTGGGAACGCATTCGAAGATGGTCTAGCGCACTTTAGACGTTCAATGGGACTTCCGGGACAAAGTTTAAATTGGGGTCCTCTGAATATAGGTATGTTAAAGGAAGCTGAATCGACCGAGAAAGTCATCGATATATTGAAAAAACAAGGATATGAGTTGCTGGAAGAAAATGACATTCATGAATGTCTGCTGAGTTGCCTATTGGACAATTATCCACAAGTGATGTTAGCAAAATTGCATTTTGACAACGGTTTTATTGACGATTCTAGAAATTCCAACCTAAGTCTTAAATTTCTTTCCGTTCTACCCACGAATACTGTAAAACACGACAATCTGGATAATGCGGACGACTCATTAATGAAACTAGATATTACGATGATAAAAGGTCTGGAGAAAGATACTCGAATAGAAATTCTCCAGAATTATATGTCAGTCATTGCCTCTAAAGTGTTTGCTGTTGATGAATCAATGGTGACACCAGACAGTTCAGTCGTAGATCTTGGTATAGACTCCATGCTGGCCATGACTATCATTGATCAAGTCAATAAAGACACAAATTACAGAATACCGATGGTAGTCCTGTTGAGTGAAGGAGCTACTATTAGTAAAATAGCAAATGTTATAGAAGATAGTTTCTGGGAAGACGTTGCAGAAGATGGGGTAGAAACTCCAAAAGATAAATTAAAATCAGAAGTTTCTGATGGGGATAAAAGGCATAATGCGGTGGATGAATTACAACTCACCAAAACAATTGAATCAGAATCCATATCGGACGAGTCATCCATAAAACATGCTTCCAATGTGCACGCGTTACCAAAAATGGAAACATGGATGGATATACAATCTGAGAAATTCCAGGAAACAAAGCTCGTGGAAGATATGGTTGACGTAGAATGTAGTGTTTCTTTCATTGAAAATGATATTTACCAATTGTATGAACACATGGACAAGGCGCCATTACATTTTATTAAGGACATTATATTTAAAGGAGCGGGCGTCGATCTTGATGTAATCAAATACTGTGCTAGGCAGACCGTGGACAGACACCCTATTGCCAGGACACTGTTTAGAAAACCGGCCACCAAAAGAGACAAATCTGGTTTGGAAAGGCAAATCGTGAGTAAAGAACATCAATTAGATTTCCGAACTTTGATGGACTCGTCCAACGATGAAGAATACCGACAGCTTTCGGAGGAATCCTTCAACTTGGGGAAATACGGACCAGTTAGATTTATCTCTTCTTCTTCTTCCCCTTCTTCTTCGCAATTAGCCTTCAGAGTTCGTCTTGTTTGCCATGTGATTGGTTTCGACACATTTGCTCTTGGGAAATTCATTTCAGATTTCCAATCACTTGTTGTTGCGAAAGCATCTAACAGGAAAATTTCATTATCTGTTAATTATGATCATGTTTGTTTAAAGGAATTACAAGATATTGTTCACTCGAATCAGAAACAAATGGAGCTGTTTTGGAGTGGTCAAGTACCTGAATCAATTCCCGAAATGAATCATAACGGCAAAAAGTTAATGTCATCCAGTAGTACGACGCCTGGGGTAACAAATCTGAAACTTGATGACCAACTGTCTCGGGCAATATTTAATCTTGAACACAGTCTTGATACGACATTACTGAAATTATTTGTTTCCTTTTACCAACTTCTTTTACACATAAACACCGGAGAAGAGTTGGTACATGTTATAACAAAACACAATCTAAGACCTATGCTGTTTCAATCCAGTCATGAAATCTGTAATTTAACAAATGATATTCCACTGTTTGCAAAGATATCCACTTCTTCGACAGTTTCGGATTTTATAAGAGAAAACAGTAAAACCATACAGAAATATTTTAACAACGCAATATACCCGTACTCCTTAATCGAGAAAATGGTATCGTCTGATGAATGTCGAAATAATTTAAAGAGACACTGTGTTGTACAAGAGGATGTGAAGAAAACTGTTCCTGCTAAAAGTCTTGGATTGTTATACGATACTTTATTAATAGTCAACTCTAATGCAACAACTAAATCAATTGATGTTCAGCTACAATATAGAAGTTCTATATATACCAGCAGTGAAGCTAAAACACTCTTAAATCAACTCCACCAAATTCTACTGTTGGTAACATCTAACTACAACATGGCCATAAGCAATATTGGAAAGAGTGTGGGTTTTGTTCTCAATAAAGATGCTAATTACAAAAGCACGAAAACAAATGCACCAATAAACGTAGGTGAGTATTATTTTTAATCCAATAACTAAAACTAAAGATTTAATAAATTGAGTAAATTGATGCAGACATTTCAAGCGACGCCTTTTCTATATTGCCTGGTTTGTCCCTTGTTTCGTAACCCTCTTTCCTTTTTATACATATCCTTCAAATAACGATATCAGTTTGATTGTGGTTGTCTTGTAGGAGAAGAAAGAAAACAAAGAATCGATGGACACATTGCTGACATACCAGATTCTTCAATGGCGATACTTAAGTCCAAGAACACCGGTTCAGACGGTTTACCGGAAAATACATTATCTTACAGTGAATATTATTTCTACGAACGATATGTGAATGAAAATTTAGTTGGGCATCATCTCACCAATGAATTACATATGAAGAAAAGGGCAGGTAAGTAAGAGTTCAAATTAGTACTCTCGGTATCTTCGGATGTAATGGTGGTCGTATATTGTCGTTACCTGCGTTCGTCAAGTTTGAGGGGGGTTTTAATACGACCACAAGAAGAGCCCTGCGTTACCCCTTTTTTGACGTTTAATCTCATGAAAGCTTGTGTGCTTGGATTGGTGATTGTGGAACTCACTAACAAATTTCGATTGGAAATAATTTCACTAACAGTTTTGATTTGTAAATTACTCACAGGTTCAGCTATGTGGTTTTCCAGAATGCATCCTGAATTTTGAATGCATTTAGCGGAGTCATATTGCACATCCTTCCTTTTATGGATCTTTAGGGGGAAACATTGAGGTCATGATACTCATCCAAGTTTTCCTTTCAGACAACCTACTGACAAGACATGGCTGCTGTATGGGCGTATTTCCACGATTTTCATAGCTATCTTTAATTGTGTAACAACGATACAGGACAGAGATGCATACATCATTGCTTAAAACTTATATTAAAACATTGCTTCATGATATGTGGATATGTGTATTATTAAAACATTTTCTTTTATTATAAAGGATTTGACAAGTTATGGTATAATGCTGCCCTGAAACTACTTGAACGTCATCGTACATTAAGAACAGTTTACGTCAAAGCAGAACCTGGAGAAAATTACAGATTCGGGTTCAAAAAACTGGAGAAAAATCCAGAAGATATTTTGGATTTTCAGTATGTGAAAAATTCTAAAGATGATGCCGAGTTCGATAGAATTAGTCGACAACCATTTGATCTATCCACAAGAGGGTGTCTCCGTTTTATCTTCGCCAGTGAACCAGCTGCCAGGACCAGGTTTGTTTTTCAACACGTTGGCGTTGATTTCTATACAATGGGATTAATTCTTAAAGATCTCAGAAATATTGGACCTGCGCTTGGCTATGGTGTGAATCTCCCCCCCTCACCAAGCGAACAAACGGGACGAGCAGCTTTATATGTGGAGGCAGCCATGAAACCGATGGAGAATGAAATGAAGCAGTTTTGGCAGTCCAAAGTCAAAGCAGGTGTACCTGATATAACATTGAACAAATACCCAAGAAACGACATGATGAAGGGAGACATTCGACCTATTATATGTACTCTACCAAACGACACGTCAAATGCTATTTTGAAATTAGCACCACATCTGAAAACAACAGTCTTTAAGTTGTTCACATCCATATATCAAATGTATTTTCACTTTATGACAGGCCATGAAAAGGTGGTAATATCTGCTCCGCTTGATTTGAGGATCCACTTGCCACCCGAAACTCAGTCTTTTTATGAAAATATGATGTCAGCGGTGCCATTGTTTACCATGTTTAACAACCCACACCAAACAGCCGAGGAATTCATTAGAACCAACACCATTAATATAAGCCAGAGTCTTGCCCACGGTCTGTATTCAGTTGTACTTATACGAGAATTGTTAGAGAACAAAGAAGAAGGAAAATGGCTGACTAGACATAGTGTTGTTGAAGAAGATATGTCCACTATAAACGATTTACAGAAGAAAAGTAAACAAGATAATGTTGTGCATCCTACTCTTGGATTTACATATGAAACTCGTCTAATGGTTTGGATAGATAAAAGAACTTCTTACATCAGACTCCATCTCGAATGTCTTCCAGAATTATATACTGAAGCCGAAGCCCAGGGTCATATGAATAACATCGTTAAGTTAATGAACGCAGTGCTAAATGATAGTAATAAGACATTGTCAGAATTAAAAGAACTGGTTGTACCTAAACAAGAGATTGTACCAGACACAATTAAAGATGATGGAGAAGAAGAAGTTGGGGGTAAATATCATTATTTGCATATTCATATTTAGTAGATTCTGGATGAGTATCCTCGCCACACAACAGTATTAATATCTGATCTATAATTTGTCATGAGAAATCTTTTAACATGAAATATTTAAAAAGTTACTTTTAAATTAATATGAAACGAAAACGGAAGTGTGACTATAAATTGTCTATATTTCTTGTTAATCCAATAAGCATACACACACACACACACACCCACACACACACACACTGTGTATTGTAACATGTCCAAGCCAAGAGAAGATACTCCGTGAAACGCCAGGAAGCTGTATCACTCCTGACTACGAGTCAGCCAGCCATATCAATATATCTGATATCTATTCTGGTTATAGGAGTTTGCATAACTAACGACTTTGGTTGTAATTGAACGTGATATAGTCTCCTGGATCTCTAGTAAATCTTGGTGCGACTTGCTCTAATTGGGTATGTGATGAACAAACCCGGAAACTCTGTACTTTTGTAATCTCATAGGCATTTTACTTTTATGAAACGTCATTAAACATTGAGTTAAATTTCTGGCTCATTCATAGTATGTTCAGAAGATTGTCTAACCCTGTATGTATGCACAACAAATTTATGCGCCGTTGATACCCATTTCTAATATATTATATTCAATCTTAGTTTTCGTACAATGATCTATATTTGGCTATTCAGCCTTAGTCTTCGTACATGATCTCTATTTAGCTATCCTATAACTATCATATAACTGTATGGTCGAGGAAATCGGGATTACACGCCATGTTAATAGTTTCACAACCGTCCTCTAGTGTTTCTAGGCTGAAGCCTATCAAACACGTTAAGTTTAAGGGTAGTAGACTGAGGGAAAGAACAAGGTGGTTATTTCATTCTTTATTTCAGCCCGTTTCCTTAAAGAAACCAGTTTGGGTTATGATCATTTGGTTTATGCTAAAATCACATCTATATCTGGACGCCCAGAGATTAAATGGGCTTCAATTGGTTACAGAGGAAGATCAAAACCCAAAAAATTCAAGTCTTTACCATTGGCAGAAGTGCATAATGTTTATCTTGCTGTATATAAAGGTAGGTATGATGTAGCCACCAACACTTCGTCTCTTATCTATGATGCAAACAGTACACACATTATATGGCATGTTTCTTTAAAATGATGAGGCGGCGGCGGCTGCATAGTCATCTTAGTACGAATTAACGGCACAAATTAATTGGGCAATGAAATGAAATGGGGTTAAACGTCTTACTGTTTTGCTCCTTTTGGGCTAATCGACAGCGGCGATATGGCCTACTCTTATTTCTTATTCCAACTTTCAAATCTGGTCTTTTTGTTTGTTATAGGTTTCCGTACAGTTGTATTTGAGACGAGGAAGAAGAAATTTATATTTAAATTTATTGATGGTGATGAGATAGCTGCCTTTACTCGGTGTTTGGAGAATAATCTAGAAGAACACCCGAGTATGACAAATGGAAATGCTGAAAGTATACATGCCTGAATATTAGTGATATAAAACATTGCAAAAATGAACTGAAATATGTCAGAGGAGGATGAAAGGGAAGCGTTTGGTAGAAAACTAGATATTTGACGATTGATTTTTTTACGATTATTCCCACGACAAGCTATTGTTAAAAGCACATTTGACGTGTTATTATTGGTAATGTCAAGTTTCTTTCTCATTGAATAAAAGAAAAGAGAGACAAAACCATACCCCCCCCCCCCCCCAAACAACCCCCAAAAAAACAAATCCCAAATTTTAGATCAAACCGAGAATAGAATATATGTGATTATCATTTCATCTTTGGTTCTATATATTTAGAAACAATATCATAAATTACGATCTCCAGAAATGTAGCCCCCCCCCCCATTAAACAACCCCAACAAAACCCAAATTTGAGATCAAACAGAGAATAGAATATATATGATTATCATTTCATCCGTGGTTCTATATATTTAGACACAGTATTATAAATTAAGATCTCCAGAATGATTGAAATCATAAAAGACAAGAATGAATTTGAAGATTTTAGGTACATGTAGACCATGGCTTCATAACATGAACTTAGCCTTCCAATTTTATAAACAATTCTTTTAATCAATAAAATCATGATTTATGTATGTCTTGAATATGTCAAGTATTTCTATCCAGTGAATATGTGCTGAAATTGTTCAGTGTTAGTAAAAGGTTTAGCCTTATACAGTTTTATGTGCTGATAATTTTAATATTAGAGGAATGAAGTCCTTAGTTGATTAATCTATCCATCGTATTCATTCACAAGTCTAATAAAACCAGGCAAGCCCATAATCAACCCCCTAGACCATATGATGGCTGAGATATTAAGTTGATTAGAGAATAGCTACCATATCTTCGTTAAAAGTTTTAATGGTAAATTGAAACTTCGTTTCTTATGGTAGTAATGGCACTTGACCATCGAGACCATTAAGTATTTTTCTTGTCAAAACTTAAAACTTTCATAACTTCGCTAAAATTTTTTTTTACTATATTGAAACTATAAAAGAAAGAAGGACCATTGCTTTATCTAAGTCTTACGTACTGCAACTATAATATTTTCCATCGTTAACTGTTCTCGCCAGAAAAATGTCAATCATATTTTATCACCAAATAATACATTCTACAGTAGATATCGCTTGTGTGATAAATTTCATAGTCTACTGCGATATCTCCTTACATGAATTTGATTGGTCAGTTAAAAAGGAACTACTTTTTTGTATTTTCAAAGAACAGTCCCCCCCCCCTTTTTTTTATATTAAAAATGAATTATTTTTATTTAATTGACTTTGATGGAAACACTGGGTCAATATAAAGGACTTTGCAATGGTTGAATTGCTGTCAAAAAATGATGTATCACTACGCCGTAATGTAATCAGGTTCAGTAAAAGTGAAGTCTATAGCAAAGAATTATATTTATTTATTTGTGCACGTAAGAAAGGATTGGGTGATAAATAAAATCTCCTACTCGTCTTTTTTCATATCAAAAAATATCAACACTTGTTGATAAAGTAAAAAGAAAACTCGACAGAGCCTCGTTTTTTGTTACTTTATCAACCTGTGTTGATATTTTTTGATATCAAAAAAGACTCGCAGGAGATTCTCTATATGTCGCACAATATTACTGTAGTCGTTTGATAATACAGTCCGAAATAAAATAATATATGACAACATAATTTTTCACTGCCTTATGAGTGTCTTGAAATGCTCCAAAAATCTACAAAGAATAACTGTGTGGACTACCGAACGAGTTTACTGCTATGAGTGTATGTTTTGTTGTCAGGTTACTAATCTGTGAAAGATTAACAAAGTTTGAAGCAAAAGGTAGGCCCGCCTGTATTATATAATATTCCATATACGATTTAAAGGTACCAGTGTCTCCTTTCTATATTCGATATATAACATTTCACTTGGAAAAGAGATGCCCAAGCAGTCGTCCCCACCCATAGGGGATTAATCGTCAATTACAAATAAAGAAATAAAATCATAGTTCTACACACATTTTTGTACTTCTATTGCATGCTTGTATATATTGTATGCTGCCGCAAAACCTAGGTTTTAGCAAAATCCAACCAGACTTTCAACCGCGTGTAAAAGTCGAAATGTTTCCGCCATTTTGTCTCAGACTATGACAGATCTAGGCCCAACTGAACTTGTCTAATAATCTTAGAATCTATATTTTCTACTTATATAGAGCAATTATGAACAAACCTCCCCACTCCTGAAAAACTCAATCTTGAAGGAAATTTAGAAGAAAATTTTCGCCAATTCAAGCAAGCAATTCAAGACAGTAAGTTAGAGCGCGTAAAAGCTAACATCTTTCATCATGTCATTGGTCCCGAAGCCACAAAAGTTTTCGATGGTTTCCAATGGAAGGAAGACGAAGGTAAAGCGAAATCCGAAGATATTCTAAACAAGTTTTAAGAATACTGCACAACTATGAAAACTCTCACAGTTGAAATATTTTAATTTCAATACCAGATATCAAGGTACAAATGAACTATTCGAAGAATGTCAATCAGCTGTTTGTAAAATGGCCAACATATGTGAATTTTCTGAAAGATCGCATAGTGTGTGGCATCTATGATAATAGACTAAGAAACGATTTGTTGAGAAAACCAACCCTTACTTTAACGAAAGCTGTAGAATATTTTAAAGCAGCAGACGTCACTTTATATTGAAGTATATCATTACAGCATCATCAGAAAAATTCAATGGTTGAACTACCATTTCAAGAGAATCGCCATCAAGTGCATGGCCATGGCAAGTCACATCATAATATCAAAGAAAACCGGCCTTTCCAAAGTTCTCTTGCTACAGAAGAAAATTTTGTCCAGCTAGTAATGTAAAGTGTCTAACTGTAAAAAGAAAGGATATTTTCACTCCATGTGTAAGGCAAAGTCAAAATCCTTATCAAATTTTAGAAGTCAATGCAACAGAGTCCGTGCTGTCAATGATAGTGACTTTGATAAAAGTATAGATGCAGTTTCTAAAACAGAGCATAGTAATGAAGGGGGCAACCACAATTTAAATTTTATTTGTGCTGTTTAATCTTCACACTCTCAACCACTAAAATAGTGGGTCACACCAAATTACGTTTTAAGGCAGATTCAGGAGCCGACGTCATGGTTATCCTCAAATGACTATACAGGAAATATTTTCAACATGATCGACTTCATACTTCAAATAGAGTACTTACTGGTCCGGACAATCATGGTTTAGATATCTGTGATTATTTCAAAACATATATTTCAGGGCAAAGTAGATCTCGTGCTGAAAGTATTTTTGTCATAGAAAGTTTCGAAATGCCATTGTTAAGTAATACTGCTTGTCAATCAATGGGTGTAATAATTTTCATATTTCGACAGAAAGGAAATTTTTGATGGTTAAGATAAACTAGGTGGAGAATATGAAATTCAGCTAGCAGATGGAGCTGTTCCTTACTCTGTGGATACACCTCGACGTGTAGCTTTGCCACTAAGGTCGAAGAAGAGTTGTTGAGACTTCAATGTTTAGATGTCATAAAACCAGTTGATGTCCCTACACCTTGGTGTGCACCTCTATGCGTCATTCCTAAAACAACTAAAACCCCAGTTGCTGATCAACGAGAAGTTTCTGGTGTCTGCATGTGTTGATCTAACCAGGTTAAATAAAATTGTTAAACGCGAGAGACGTATGTTACCCTCTGCTGAACATATGTATTAGGGCAGATGGCAGGTGGACGCGTTTTTTTTTCAAAATAAGATGCAAGCATACATAGATACAGAAAGCGACTTATGCGTTATTCCTCCTATTCAATAGTTCAAGTTGCTGGTAAGAATTTATCCACAGCCGATTGTTTATCAAAAGCCCCAAGCTCTGAGTCCACTGGAAATAATATTGATTTCCAGAATTCAGTTACGTCATATTTAAACATAGTTGTGTCAAATTTTCCCTTCCCCGATAAACGTTTGCAAGAGATCATCACTGAACTGTTAAAGGTAAATAATTGTATTCCTATCGTATGCATGGTTGGCCTCGAGACATTAAAAATGTTATCTTGCAGTAAACCCCTATTTTCAATACAAAAATGAAATTTCAATTATAGACAATTTATTAATTTGTGGATCATTATCAACCCAATCCTTACAAACTGATATCTTGGGTAAAAGCTATGAAGGACATCTTCGCATCACAAAGTGCCGCGAATCATACAGACTTCCCTTCAAGACCATGGTGTAAACTTGCATCCGGTCTGTTTAAATTTTAATGGTACATACCTGCTTGTAGTAGATTACTTTTTTCGTTATATTGAGGTAGCAAACCACACAAGCCCAACTTCATGTGTTCTAAAATCAATGTTTTCACATCACATCTTTGCGTAATGGATACGGTCCTGCAGAATTACTATTGGGACGAAGCCTGAATCCCAAACCACCTGTCATATCATCACAATTATAGAGTACATTGGTGGATGTGAATAAGCTAAAAGCATGCGAACATAAATTACGCGAACAACAAAAAGTCAATTTTGATAAAAGACATTGAGTTAAAAGTCTACCAAAATTGTATAAAGTCGATTCAGTATTTTTGAAAGACAGAAATGAAAGAGGTGTTGTTACGAGACAAATTTCTCGTCGTTCTTATACGATTATTATCTTAAATCGACGCAATTGGTTAATTAAGAGAAATTGAATGCACAACAGACTAACTAAGTGTCTTATCTGTGTGTAAATTGTTTACATGCTTGATTGTGGATAAGTAGGTCAGCGCACGGGTGTTTAGACAAGTGGGGTGTGACAGTGTGGCGTGACCACTTAGTCTCATTTTTGGTTTTTTTGTTTACATGATGGCTGTAACGAGTTTTATGTTTCTAGATGGGATCTTCTTACTGACTCGAGGGACATTGATGCCTTAAGTGGATTTCTTATTCACGTGGGTTAGGGTGAGGGAGTGTGATTTGATCTGGTTTAGTACTAGTATTTTCAAATGTTATATAGAATGAAATT